TAACCTCTAGGTGTAGGCCACACCTCTCGTACACGGAGCTTGTGACATGCAAGAGTGAAAGGAGCTAAGATTTGCTTTTGCTCATTGAGGAGGCTATCTCTCTGCTTGCTTTTGAATGCAGCTTTCACTCTTGAGCATGAATAAAAGATTTGCTACCTTCTTGCCATTTGAAGATTTGCAAGATCAAAATCTTGAAGCAATTCAGACAGAAGTGTGCAATGCAGGGCAGAAATTTCAACACTCAATTCGAAAATGTAGCAAATAATACCATTATGTCTACAAGATTAATCAAACCATAGCAGACCACATTCTGCCCTCATGTACAGCAGCTCTGCCCAGCAGCTCTGCCAACAGTAACAGCTACCCAGAATGAATCTGGCCTATTTTATTTCCAGTTTGCAATTGAGAAGAAAAATGTTTCAAGCCAACTTCAAAGCAAAGTCAGTTTTAATTACCTTTGGCTGTGCTACTATCCTTTGTTTGGAACTGTAAGTCCTTTTCAACAGAAGCACTGAAGTCCTCCTGGGGCGGAATATGATTTTCCTGCTTAAGACCTCTTCTGATCAAAGTGAGCCGAACCGTTTGTCCCGTGTGCCGCAAAACGTCAACTGCTTGCTGGTTAGTAAAACCCTGAAGATTTGTTCCATCCACCTGCAGAATTAAGCAGCTTTTCAGTCCACCCAGAAAAAAAAAGTCCAGGGCAAAATAATACGGTGAGCTCTCAGCATCTGTTAGCCTGAGCACAAAGCAAGTGTAGGAGCAAGAACAAAAGCTATATGACTTAATGAAATTGGATGACCTAAGCACTTCCATTGGAGTACCGCACAGCTAGGCGACAACCAGCACTACACCGCAGAGAGGGGAAGCGCTCCAGGTGCCCACAACGGTGCGGCCGGGCAGATCTGCTCTGCAAAGTGGGAGAAGACATAGCACGTGCTGTCCAGGGCACACTGTGCAGCCTGTCTGCTTGACCATTTCAGCCATCTCTACCTCCAAGGAGAAAATACTGGGTGAATTAACCAACACAGCCATGGCTAGGAGTGCTGGGGACAGGAGGGTTAAGGAAAGATACACTGATCCATGGTGGTAAAAAGAACTGGAGAGCACAGTCATTCTGAGGCCAAGGAACCTCAGATACAGGGAATTCTACTACTGAACACCATGAAGTCCCATTTCCCAATCAAACACAGTCACAACCAACCACATGTTCTCACTGGTTCATCATTTTAATATTTTAAAGATAAGATTTTGGCCTCTTCTGTTTGAAACTATCTCATTATCTCATTAATTCAGTGTTTTTTTCTGGAACTCAAAACTTTGGCATTGTTCAATTTCATCCCATTATCCCTAGCACACACCCAATTTTATTCTTCTCCCTGCAAACTCTGTAATATCCTTTCTCAATTTACCCTTCTGTGCCTTAAATTTCTGAAATACTTCTAATAATACTATGTTCCTGTAGCTTTTCCTGTCTGTCTACACAACACATATATTTCATTATTTTAATTGCTCCTCCATGAAGAACGAATCCCTCTGGACTCTTGATCATTTTGTTGTTCTTCTCTTAATTTCTTCCACCTCTGGTGCTCTTCTAAGTATAAAGTAACCAAAAATCACATGGGGTTATTCAATTTTTTCTCCATGCTTAAGCAAACCATGTTTAAAAAATGTTTATTATTCTTTTGTCTGAGAACACTCAAATAATTTTCTTCTTCTGCATCTGCAGTAGAAGAAGCAAACAAACTGCAATAATCAAGTCCAGCCATTTGTATTCAGCATGTAAATCATTACCAAAAACATATACTTCCACAAACAAACATGCAGGCACATTTAGAGAGAGACATTAACTTGCTCTTAGTGCTGCCTAAGGAGAGATCTATGAGGGACACAAAAATGCACTCCCTCTGTTCATGACCTGATTTTCACTAAACAAATAACATTTTATGGATGAAAATATGTTCTTTTTTCTCTGAGCATCTAAAACTTTTATAACATACTTTTAAAAATCATTTTGAAAAGTTGTGCAAATTTAATCAAACTTTAAAACTTTGCACTTACTAAGATCCTACTGATAAGATACACACATGAAATACAGATTTTTTAAAGAAGTACAAGTTAGGAGTGGATAACATAATCAGAAAGAGAATGTGATCAAATATTCTATCAAAAAAGGCCTCATCCTTTCAATAGCATTTAAGTATTTTAAACAAGTACTATATAAGCATTTCTTTACAATTTAAAGAAGCAGAATTTTGCAGACAAGTGATCTTGCTTCCTTTTGTGTTTACTTACAACTATAATTTGATCTCCCACATGGATTCTGCCATCATGTTCAACAGCACTGCCCTTTGTAATGCTTTTCACAAAGATACCAGAAGGTTCTGGGATGAAGAAACAGGAAAAATTAAATTAACTAATTTATTAAGAAACAATTTAAATAATACAACAATCTCTAACTAATGGCACCAGTCAAAGACAGAAAAAAAAACAACCCACAATCTCAAAGTAAGATAAGAAAATAATCATGAAGAAAAGTAAAGATTTAAGTGAAACATAAATATTACTAAAGGATGAACTTCATTAATGTCACCTTGCATTGCACCAGCTTTCATTCAAAATCTTACAATGCCAAATTCACAATTCTTGCTGGAAAATAAAAAATATTCCAACTTACTTTAACCTAAATATTGAAACCAACATCAACAAGGAACGTATCTCTGACTTCTGTCAAATTTGGACAGAAAATTCAGCTTCAGTATACTAATCTGGTAAACTCTGAATTTTCTATGTACTTAATAATTGCTTAAGAAAATGCATGTTTGAATAACCAAATCCAGAAAATTATAAGCAAACAGGACCACAACTTACATTTGAACCAGCTTTTAAGTACAGATGCCAATATTAGATAAAACAAAAATTTTTTTAAAAAAACCAAAAAATCCCAAACCAAAAAAAAACAACAAAAAAAAAGCCACAAACAAACAAAAAACCCCTAAGACAGAACTATTTTAGACAGTTATTAATTTTGAATCAGAAAAGAAAGGAATATATAGAGAACATCTACAGAAGCGATGTTTTACTAAAAGAAATTCATTTCAGGAGAAACACACTTGTCTGTGAAACAACTTCAACAGCTCAATAAAGTGAAAATCTCTGGAGTTTCTACATGCTCATTTTGCACATCATACATGAAACTGAGAAAAATAACAGCATAAACAGGCATGAAATCAGGTCTGACAGTTACAGGCCTGTAACACTGATATCAGAAATCTCAAAAGAATCTACTTTCTCTCAACAAATGTTCCCACTGTTAAATGAATATGTTTGATATGAAGATAATTCACTACAAAATGCATTCTAAAAGTTGTCAGATCCTTTACAGACCTGAAGTTAACTTTTTACTGGCCTTATTATGACAAAAGTTAGCAGGAAGGAGGGCTAATGATCCAATTCAGCTTAGGAAAAATAAGATTACAAAATATATTCAGTCACCCCACGACCACGTCTCTTTTTTTTTTTTTTTTTTTTTTTTTAAGCTGTTGTTTCCACAACAACTGGTCTTACTGAATTCAAGGTATTCTTATATCCTGTAACAGCTGTATGATAACACAAAAAGTTGTTATTTGTCATTCATGAAAGATTCAGCCATGGATCTTTTTGTCCAGTAGTTTTATTGCTACTTCTCTGACAGCAAAGTTATCCTGTAACTAAGTGTTAAGTCACAAAACTGAGTTACCTAATCAGTTCCTAGGTTAAGAATATTCTACATAGTTACACACAGCACAGTAATTTCAAATCAAAGACTCGTGATACCCAAACACTAAATCAGTTAAAATATGCTCTCAGATCTATCACATGTTCTGCATTTTAATTTGTCTCTTAAAGATTCAACTGGAAGCTGCTAAACAGTGGACTTGCACAAACTGTGACCATCCTGTCCTATGCAACAAGACTGTTAAAATTTAGTCCAGATTTTCCAAGTCGACAAACTAAGCTATATACTGCCAATAATGCAGAGTGCACCTATCCATACATTTTTCTAACAATATATATGTGGGTGCAAGTCAAAGCAATAGCTCTTTGAGAAGTTTTACAACACATTCAACAAATATCCCTTCATAGCAATACTGGATTTGCCAAATCCCCCCCAGGGAGGCCTAACAGAGTTCAGAATAATTTTTCAGAAGAATGCAGTGGAAACTGCAAAGTAAAAATACACAGAACCGTACATGAATATTGTTGCATGTGTTTATTTAAATAAACTTATTTATTGTCTGCCACGGTCCACGGGCCAACAAACATTTATTGTATCTATATCTATTGTATTCTTGATCTGCCAGCAGCACTATTCACATTGTTAACAATTTAATAACAATACCTTCTCAAACTACTCAAATGGCTAATGTATTACCTTGTAAGAGCCTTTTAAAAACGAAAATGTAATTTTAAAAGCCCGGCTATTTCTAACAAAGAGGGCTCAACCTATTTTAGAACTGTTTTTCAAAAACATATAAACATAAGCTTTAGCCAAAAGTGAAGATAAAAACTGATTTAAAAATAGAGGTGGGATTCTATAATAACACCAACTGCTTTTATTCTGAATGTCCTTCTCACTAAAGGAAAATAATTCTTTTTCCCTTACAAACTTTAAATAGATTTTCATATTGTCAAGGGTTCTTTTAAGAGATGCTATAGCAAAATTAAGTCTTGGATGCATATATACCATAGTATGCAATAGATTGTATAGTAAAGTGCAGAAATCTACCATTACCTGATGTTTTGTCTCCAATGTAACCAGCAATAGTTATTCCTAAACCTTGGTTGTTTTTAGTAAGTTCAACATTAAATTTCTCCCCATCTTCACAGCCATCAATAGAAGCATCTGCCTAATAAGAAAACAGTAATTAGATTTTTTTTTTCTTTAAAGATCCTTCACATTCTTTAATGTCATTAACATGTAAAATTAGATGCAATCATAAAAAAGAAAGTGCAAACTTTCCTTACACTCTTTGCTGTTCACCACAGAAATGAGAAATAGGTTAACACTCCTCATGGTGAAGCAATACGGGGCAGGTCATGTACTCTCCACCTCACTGCTCCAGTATATTACCTCTAACCTATAAAATCATTATTTGATGACTAAAATGATCGGTAGATTTGTACAAATTGAATAATGAATTGCTTGTACAGTAATTTAGACATATATGTATATGAATAAGTAGCTTGCTGCCCTTCTGGTGCCTTCTCTGAACCAGCTTTAGATGGCTGGGTTATTAAAAAGAAGAAAAAAAGTCATAATTCTATTTTGTATGCTATTTGTTTAAATTTCTCTGCAATAACTACAGCTATGTTTTTTAAACTTGTCAAAAATTTGGGAGTAAATAATTAATTTATTTACTGTTAATGGAAGTAAAATACATACTAAAATCCCATTTTTACAATAGTGGTTTTGTAAAAAACTGTAGAAAAAACTACTTATAAAAATTAATTTCAACTTTAAAAAAGTTTTGGATTTAATTTTTTCATCTTTCAGTTGTCTAAAACAGACAGTTTCTAGCCATTTCAATAACTGATATGTGATTACATATAAAAGGTTTTAATTTCATTGTATTTATATGGGCATCAATATTTATGCATACATTTAAAACAGGATTTCATAAAGTAAAAATCCATCAAGATCCTGCTATACTCTTCTTTTATTCTGTCCTTTCTGCATGCCAAGTAGCAGCTAATATTTTTTAAAGTGCAAATATGGCAACCAGACAGATACTAATCAAACCTAGTTTGACTAGATAAGTATGCATGTGCCTAAAGAAAGAAGATTTCAGGAGAGCTATGACGCTACTTGCCAAGAGAATCTGATTCCAGTTCTTTATCTGAACAACTCCAACCAAAACCAAAATTAAACACAAGAAAAAAAAATTGCTACTGCATTAGCCATCTCTCTACTTGATAATACAGGATTGCTTTGGCCAGAGGTAATACCACTAAAAAACTGATCTAATTTCTATAACCTCATGAATTTTTACAGGATAGACATCTACAGGTGAACATGACAAGAAGTGGCCATTTTGAAAAGCCATTCTGCTCTCAATAATAGCTGTAAGCACATCTTGAAGTCTTCACCCACACTGTATTTGATTACAAGAAACTAACAAACCAAGCTGTTTGCATCATCATCTTCACTTCAGACCCAAATCAGTAAGTCTTGCACAACTGTTAACAAGGTGCTCCTTCCAAGAACAAGACTTGCAGAAGTTTAAAAACAGCCTACGTTCTGCCAGAAGAGAGGTACCAGGAAGAAGGTATTGAAAAGTAAGGAAAAGGAGAAGAAGGTGTCAAAAAATTTAAATTTTGCCCCTTGGCTGCTTTGAGCTACTTCCTCAGTACTAGAAATCTTATACCTCCTGCAGCTGCAGATACTTCCTTCAACATTGCATCATATACTGGTGGTGAATGGTGTTGTATCCAGTTGTTGGCCAGTCACTAGTGGCATGCCTCAGGAATCAGCGTTGGGCCCAGTCCTGTTTAATATCTTTACTGATGATCTGGATGAGGTGATTGAGTCTACCATTAGCAAATTTGAAGATGGCAACCAGTTCAGAGGGAGTGTCAATATGCTGGAAGGTAGGAGGGCTCTGCAGAGGGACCTGGACAGGCTGGATCAATGGGCCAAATCCAGTGGTACGAGATTCAACAAGGCCAAGTGCCAGGTCACATGCCTTTTGGCCATAACAACCCCCTGCAGCACTACAGGTGGGGAGAGAGTGGCTGGACAGTGGCCAGACAGAAAGGGACCTGGGGATAATGATTGAGAGGAAGATGAACATGAGCCAGTAGTGAGCCCAGGTGGCCAAGAAGGCCAATGGCATTCTGGCCTGTATCAGGAACCGTGTGGCCAGCAGGACCAGGGAAGTGATTATTTCCCTGTATGCGGCACTGGTGAGGCCCTTGCTTGAATCCTGAGTCCATTTCTGGGCCCCTAAGTTCAGGAAGGATATTGAGGTGCTGGAGCAGGTCCAGAGAAGAGCAACGAGGCTGGTGAAGGGACTGGAGCACAAGTGCTATGAGGAGAGGCTGAGGGAGCTGGGGTTGTTTAGCCTGGAGAAGAGGAGGCTCAGGGGAGACCTCATCACTCTCTACAACTGCCTGAAAGGAGGTTGTAGCCAGCTGGAGGTCAGTTTTCTCTGCCAGGTAACCAGCAGTAGGACAAGGGGGCACGGTCTTAAGCTGTGCCAGAGGAGGTTTAGGTTGGACATTAGGAAGAGGTTCTTCACAGAAAGAGTCATTGGGCATTCAAATGGGCTGCCCAGGAAGGTGCTGGAGGCACCGTCCCTGGAGGTGTTTAAGGAAAGCCTGGATGTGGCACTTAGTGCCATGGTCTAGTTGACAGGGTTGTGTTTGGTCATAGGTTGGACTCGATCTCAGAGGTCTTTTCAAACCTAGTTGAGTTTGTGATAACCTCAAAAAGGCAAACGCTGAAGAAATATACACAGATTAACTGTGTATGTCAAATTCAGCTTTTGTTTTGAGACTGATGTTTTTCAGATAAGTAATACTAGGAATAAACATGGATCCTCTATCTAAAATGCAGAGAGGTTTTATGTCTCTCAGTGCTGTAAAAACATAAAAGTACCAGTTTGTCTCTCCTGCTAGATGCTCAGAAGCCTCCATGTTAAGATTAACTTTCTTTGCCTTATAGCCACAAAAGAGGGGATGTTTCTTTTTCACAGGTACCACTACAATGGACAGGGGCAAAATGATGGTAATCATGCATAAATTTTTATGGCTTTTTTTCTTCTGAAGTGACCTGTTTGAAACGTAAATTGTAACTGGGGAGAAAGTAAACCAAAAAATCTTTCAAGGCCTAAATTCTATCTACCTGGAGGCTCAAAAACAATGAACTTTTTATTCTCTCATTAATTTACTCCACATATTCACATTAATATGTATCTGATCATAACCACATGTGACAAAACAGTACTGTTCCTGGCTCTTCTGAAACCAGACTTTGCTACAAACATGCAAATGACCTATTATGCAGAGGTTTTGAGCTGACAGGTCATGATAATATATACACCTCTTTTTAAGAGGCTGACAGTTGTAGAGGAGTAACAGCGCATAGTACAATCATCAGCAGGGGAATAAGGGTAGCAGCGGTCAACTTTTTTCAGAAAACATCTAGCAAATGAGCAATGCCAGGTGATGTAGGAAAGAAGCAGGTGTGTGCTGGTTGGCACAGGGGGGAAATGTCTGATGAAGAGCTGAAATTATATGGAAAGAAGAAATATTTCTGGAGAGGAAAAAGACAAGGGGACAGAGAAATGCTACATAGTCAACTAGCTCTGTCTGAAGAAAAGACTTCATGGCTTCAGTTGTTTCTAATGTAATAACGTACCCTTGCAAAAACCCAGAACAAATTGTTTCAAATTATACTTATGGAAGTCCTAAACCTTAATCCCAAAAGTCTTTAAGAATATAGTTACTTGAATTATGGACTCATTATATTTAAATTCTCCCAGACTGTCAGATGAGAACATCACTATTGGGAAAGAAAATCCTGTCTTTTGAGAACATAAGGACAAAAGACATTTAAATAGCAAGTAAAAAGAAAGGAAGTTTATAGTAGACATTTGCAATGAGTTGAGTATATTCACTGTTGCTTACCTGTTTATCTGGTGTGGAGGTGGGTACTGGTGTACCTGGAGGAACTGCTGGAAGAGGTGGCTCATCAATAGGACCCCTTGCAATTACGAGTTTCACTCTATTTCCACACTGCCTTAGAACTTGTGCCACCTGCTCACTGCTCATTCCAGCTAGGTCTGTATCTCCAATTTTCAAGATGTGATCTCCACTACACAATCTCCCATGCTGGAGGAAAAATAATGATGAAAAAAATCTTTTAACATCCTGCTACTTCTTCCACATACTGTATAGTTAGAAAAAGACTACATAGCTATAGTAACTATTACGACATATGAACCAGGTGACTTGTTTTGGGTGTCAAGTCAATATCCTGAAAACACCGAGAAGAAAAGAAAGTTGCCTAACAGCACGCTAATTTTACTTGGAATTTCCAAAGAAATACCCAGGAGATCATTTTTCAAACAGTCACCCAAGCACACAAAAATAAACGCGTTTAGTTACGATTACTACTTTCTGATATTTAACAACTACATGTAGAGTTCAGAACTCTAGGTTTCATTTCCAAGTACACTTTTAAAGACAGCACAAAAACATTTATTCTGCTTTGCACTTCTATTTAAAAACTAGTTCTCAGGATCAACCATAACTTCAAAATAAAATTAATTTCTCTCTTACTGTGATTCAGTTATTTATATTGCTTTACACTGGTTTACTCTCCTACTGATTTACCTTTAATTAACAAAAATGCTTTACATGAATGTAGGCCATATGATGCGTATTAAAGAGACAGATCTGTAAAAGCAACCTATCTACCTGCTCAGGGAAAGAGTGCAGCAGTAAATATTCTCCATGAATCTCCAGGTTATCAGGCTGCTATGCTGTTGTTGGAAGACTAACCAGTCTCTGTGCCTATTAAATCCTTGAAGATCATTAATGCAGCCCTGGGTACCTGTCCAACGGACAAGCTTGAAATCAGCTGTGATAACCAAATTCAATTCACATGAGCCCTTCAGGCAAGAGCAGAGCCTGCATTCTGAAGCAGACACATGAAATCACCTCCGCTCCAAGCCTCAGTAAGCCCAGCAGAGAGAAGCAGATTGTCTTAGCTATTAGGGCAGAGCAAGTCAATTTTTGGAATTCTCCCTACCCTTGACTACAACCAGTGGACTCATGAAAGAATTAAGAGTGTAAATGAATATCAACCAAACATGTATTATGTAACAGGTTTGAAAATGTGATTTAGAGCCTAGTCCAGCTTTTACAAATGTGCAAATCCCAGCACTAAACACATCTTTATATAAATATAAATTTATATAACTTTTATATAAATTTCACTACTTGTTCTTTTTTTTTTGCATTTATGTGGATAAAAGCTACCAGTATTTAGCATGATCATAAAAGTAAAGAGTAACTGCACACCTTACTGAATGGTAACAGAAAGGTAGATTGAATGTACCTGATCAGCAACCCCTCCTGGGAGGATGGTTTTAACAATCACTCCAGTTGACTTTCCTCCCACTATCCCAAATCCCAGACCTGAGCCATCATTCACCAACTCTATGGTCTCCACATGCTGCCAGTGAACCTAAAAGGAACAAATATAAGCTTGCAAATGATTAAAAACATAGACTCATAGAACATATGATTTTTATAGATATGAAAAGACCCTTAAGATTATCAAGTCAAAATCTTAACATAGGTATTAGAATTTGCAAACTATATTCTCTTTTTTCTTGAGCATGTTTTTGATAATGGAAGGTTGCAGGAGGGTGGACATAAGAGACCTTTCTAACAATTACTATTTGGTGTAAGATTTCATAATTTTTAAGCGATAAATTGCTAGTTCCATAACAGGCAAGCTTCTCTGGTACAAAACAGAGCTAGGTAGTGGGTCAGACCTTTCAAGAACTTGTTGAATTAATTTAAGCAGCAACCTAGGGCCACCCACCTTCACGCCCCTTTGCAGTCAGTAAATACTGCTGCTACAAAATCTCGTAGGACTAGAAATCTTCAGGTAACCGCATGTTTACGTTGGCCACTATAACAAAGCACAGGTGAAAGCAAAATCCCAATTTAAGGATTTTTAAGGCTGAAAGTAGCACCAAGCATTGCATGAGCAGAATTGCCTCATGTAATGAGCAAAGATTTTTGCATTGTCTGATGTCAACAGCAGCAGAACGAAGCGGCTCTGATGGCAGATATGATGTTCTAACAGGAGCAAAACTGCTCTGAAAGACAGACAAATGCTAGTTTTCATATGGGGCACTACTTGAAGGGACAACTGAAAGCTCATGGTGTGCTTTCTCCTGAAGAATACACCACACCATACACTCATCGGAAACTTGAAACTGCAGCTGGTCCTACATTAGGTAGGATCTTGAAGGAAGCATTTATTTTGGCATAATCCAGGTATTGCAAATTCAAAGCCCTGTGGTACCTGTTTGGAAATCCACAATCTTAACATAAACCAATGATGATCACCCAAAGCCTGAAGGAAAAAGGACAGCTCCTAATACACTGCATTTGAAAGCAAAGAGAAAACAAGCACTGGGAAAAGCACGCTAAAAAACCAAAAGCTGTGGCATGTTTAAAAGGAACATTTTTTCAAGCAAGAGAAGTTGTCTGGAGAATACAGAGGCAATCACATAGAGAAAAAAGTGTGTCACAGCAATATTGGAAGAGAGCAGGCCTCTCCTATGTGCTGGCAGGAAAGCTTAGGTCAGTCAGCTGCATTCCTGCACACAGATGAAAAGAATAGTTCTGACATTCTTTCACTAAAATTTTTATGCTAATGATTAAAAAAACCACTAAAACAGCTGCTTTTTCCAGACCAATTGCTCTCTATACTGCTGGTTATCGACTCCCTTTAAAGAAGGGCCACAGATGACTGAACAGCAAAACCTACAGAAACTAAAGACAGGTTGTTTCATCCCAGGACAACACGGTATTACATGAGTAAGATACCAGCATTCAAAAGAAAGGAATTGTAGCAGAGCTGTTTTCTGGGGGGTCCTAAAATGCATCCATGCATTTTAATGTTACTTGTTACTCTACTTGGATCCCCCACGCTAACAGAACAGAGAAACAAACACACAAGTACCCCTTCAGCTGGTGGTGTGGATCAGATTGCAATGCCTCAAAAAATTCTGTTTGCCCAAGCAGAAGGCAAAGAAAAAAAAAGATCTTGTTTACTGCAATCTCAAAATAAAGCTTCATCAAGGTAAATACGCTATATTTGCACTGGTAGATACAGATAATTTGGCAGATGAGAGGAAGGAATACATCCAAGATGAAGATTTCCCCCCAGCAAACCTGAATATTTTCTACTCTTTGCATGGGCAAAGGTACAGCAAAGATAAACAGAAGAAAAGCCTCGAGAAATTTGAAGGCGTGTATATACAAGTTACAAAAAATGTCTCAAGATCCTATATGCAGTAAGTACATACATGACCAGAACTGAATACACAGATGTTTGAGGTATACTCACCGGGTTGGAATGGGCTGAAACTGTACTAGCAGCAGATGGAGACCGGGAAACTACAGGACTGATGAGCTGAGGAAAAGTGCCCCTGGCCACAACTAGCTGGACATTATCTTTTGCTTTCTGCAGGATGCTGATAGCCTGTTGATGCGTAATTGTCTGATCAAGGGCTTGTCCATTAATAGCAAGGATTTGATCTGCTTCCTTCAGCTTTCCATCTCTGTCACATAGATGTAAACAGGGGAGGGAGATGACAAAATAAATCAGAAAAACCAAGGAAGCATTGCCACAGAAATTGCAATATTTTGACAATTTTCCAGTATTTTTAATAACCCAGTCTCTATTCCCCCCACTTTTTAATCCCTCCCTGCAGTTTTGCTGAAAGGAGCTGATGCGGCACCCTGGTGATTGCTTCCTTTGAAGCTAATCCCACTCCCACTGTCCCCTGGCTACTACTCCCTAGCCAGCTTTCTTCTCCCTGTACCCCCATGCGAGACTAAGCATATTAATCTCAGTCACTACCAAACACAGCCTAGGAGCTTGTGTTTATTCTTGACTTTGAGCCTCTTGCTTTACACATCAAGTGCTCCACTTTGTTCAGTGCCCCCATCCTGAATATTCATCAAACTGTGGAGTGGAACACACTTTCATCAAGATGTTACAGAAACAAATTTTGTTTTGCTGAAAAACAAGGAAAAAAAAGGAAAAGAAAAAAGAAAAAAAAGAAGGCTAGGCAAATAAAAAAAAGAGAATGAAAATGATAAAACAGATCCCTTTTATGCAAAGGGAAAAAATTAAAAAAAAAAACCTCTTTGCTTTCTGACAAAGGAAGCACTACTGTAAAATTACACGCTGAGCCCTTCCCCAGACCTAATCCAAAGGAAGTGCATGAAGCCTACAAAGTTGAATTACCTGCTACTTCCTTCACCAATTCTTTGCATCCTAAAGTGCCAGCACTTCGAAAACAAAGGGCAGCAATGAAAACAAGGATCCCTACTACACCAGCTTTTGTGAGTACCTACACGGTAGAAGCTCAGTTACAGCATTCAGGAAAAAGAATTTCACTTGTGAATTCAAACTGTTTTCCAGAGTGCTCTCGAAGACTTATTATTGCCAGGGCCTTTCTCATTTATGACCCCTGTAACAGTTGTTGAATGTTTCTCTTCTGGACAATGAATCAGGCAGGGCCTGATTCAGTAAAGACAGGTCTCATCTCCATGAAATAAAAGTAAAAGCAAATACCACTTGAATGGGAAGAAAGAAAAAAGGGGGAAATTTAGGCAAATTAGAAAATATTGTGAATAAGTAGAGCAGGATGCTTTCTGTAACTGAATTAACTCTGCAGACCATGCTCTGGCCTCTGTTAAAAATACAGTGTTCAGATCACAAATAATCCAAAAACTTCTCCCTACAGCACAGCAAAAAATAGAATCAACATGACTCACACCTCCCCACACAACATACAGAGTTCACTGCAAAGTAGCTCTGGCCAGGTTCCTTGATCACTGATACACCTCACCAGCCTGCAGTGAACCTTGCACTGCTGCCATTTACCACTAGGTTTGTTTGCTCCCTTGGGCTGTTCTTACAGCAGAAATCCATTTCTCTCAACACTCCTTGTGAAATTTGAGTTTAAGCCTAAAGTATATTTTCAGCAAGCTATTATTATTGCTGAGCTTCTGTAACATCAACTTAATATCTCTTTGAATATCTCTGAGTTCAGGTCAAGCCTTGCTTGACTTTAAAGCTTGGTTTCTCTCACCTGCTCAGTGGGCCATACCTTACAAATAACACTGCTAATTACAGCTGACTATTTTGCATAAAATTGTTTTTCGGTACATTCAAGGATGGCAAAATATGGATTTCAGTGTTAAAAGACACAATGAAGAATGGCAGCCTCCCCTTTTTCCCTATTTAAAAGGAGATATTATAAACAAACCACAGAGAAGGACATAAGTAGTTTTAATGAATTCAGAACACATCATATGTTGTCCTGTTCCAACATCACAAAAATGGCAGTGTTAAGTAATTTTACATCTGCAATGATGCTTAGGATATGAGAGAAACATGGCTCTTGTACCACAAAAATAACAGCACTAACACAACTAAATTGCACTGTCATATTAACATTTGGTATAGTAAAATATTCCAGTAGTTTTCTTACCTATGTGCCACACTTCCCTCCTGGATTTCTTGCACAAATATTCCTAGTTCTCCCCTGTTTTCACTCTTGAGTCCCACAACACTGAAGCCCAGACCACCACTTAGAGGTTTAATAAGTTCAATTGTCTCAACAAGACGACCCTATTTAGTAGAAGTTAAAAAAAAGGGTACAAATGTTAAAAGGTTAAAAATGTTGAAAGGTAGTAATAATGAATGTTATAAACAACTTGTAAATTAGTTGCTAATTTGCCAGTTACAGTTACAGTTGGGCAAGACTATACAAGCTAATAACTGAAACATAGTTGTTCATTTCCGATTTTTTCCTATCATACAGAAAAGATTTGAGAAATAAAAGACTACCACAGCCCCGAAGAGGAAATCAGGGAAGAACAGCTAAATATACAGACTTTAAGCTTAGTAGTGACTAAAGTAGGATATGCATCCATAAAATTTTAGAGGGTACAGGTCAACTTTCAAGCAAAACTAGAAAAAGAGGAAGAATTTCAGAAAGATGAAAAAAGTAGGACTATGCAAAAGGCTCTCCATAAAAGCATTAGACTTCTCCTATCAGACTTTTTTACAGATTAATTACAACAATCCTAGAATATATGCCTGGGCATTCCCAGCTCCAGCCACTGTAGGGACTTGTACATCATTTCTGGCTGATACAGGAAAGTAGTAAGATTACACAGCAAGGCCAAAAAGGAATTTTCCATTTAATTTCCAAGAAAGTCTAGTTGTCATTAGTTATGCATACAAGAGGATGCTCTGACAAAGTATCTCCCCCATGCACAGAGAGGCAGTTCTACAATGTGTGCATAAAAAGATAATGGGATGCTGATCTGTGAGACACACAGAGGCCAGCTAAGGACAGTAACTCAGCAGCGACAATGTCAAGACCACTTTTTCACCTGCTTTCTCATTTACTAATTGTTCCTCAAATTAAAAGGTTACTTTTATTTTATATAGGAAGTGAGCTCTGGTCTGCGTCATAACACAATTGCTTTTAAGTAAGCATACATGTATTTTAATCATCAGATAACCAGTAATCCACATTCTGTGGTTACTGTAAGACAAGTTTACCTGGGACATGTTTCTGATCAGCTGCTCGAAGTCATCACTAGAGGATTTTCCATTAATCTGAGGAGTAATGGATCTCATTGATGCTTCTAGCACATTAGCTGGGCTGCCATTCTGCTGAGCCAACAAATATGACTCATTAAGTGGCAAGGACCCCATGTTCACACCATGATGGAGAAGCTGAGGGAATTCATCACTGGAATGTATGGAGGGTGCAATATTTACCTGTAAAAGATTGATGGCAACACAGATTTACAGACACAGCAAAAACCTCCCGCCTACATAAGAGCATCATAGTAACTCAATTGATTGTTAAATGTACCTGAAATACCAATTTGCAATTTCAAAAAGACATTTTAAAAAGAAAAATTACCTTCGATATTTATAATCAATGTAAAGTTGTGAACTACCAGCATAAAACACAGAAATTGACAAGAACAATTTTAAATTGCCTAAAATTAATTTGTTCCTATCAGCATAGCATCTTGAAGTATTCCATCACAGTGGTAGATGTAAACAAGTATTACCAAACTTTTTCTACAGTAACAGTATTAAAAAAAACCAAAACAAAACCCAAACAAATGTATCACTTATTTTACAAGAAAAAAAAAAAGTATGTGTATATTAATGAAAAAAGGAAAGAAACCTTACCAGCTACATAGAAGACAAATTTCACTGGTCATGGTTTCTGCATCACAATGCACTACCAATGTGACTATCTACATGAGCTAGAATTAAATACAAAATTACTGAACAAGTCTAAACCCACCAGGCTGCTCTGAAAATCATAATTGTACATTTATACAGACAGACTTGACAATACCATTCTCTTAGAACAGAAAAGAAAATGAGAAATTTCTCCATTTTGCCCAGCCATAGTAAACTACCTCTTTTCAAGCAGGTCTCTGCCAACGAATCTAATGAATGGTTGCTGGCGATACAAAGCTCACCTGAGAGATGAGCAGAAACCCTCATTTGGCTGTTGTCCCGCTTGCCTGTTGACTGTCAACACGAACCATTTTACTCCACGTAGATTTGCCGCATACTTGCCTGGCACACTAACCACAGTACTGCAGTTTCAAATACTTTTCATAGTTTTACAATGCAAATTTGCTAGCATTCTGTATCACAATACAGAAGACTAGGGTTCCCCTTCCTTAAAGTCATATTTTTAAACTTCATGTATCAACAAAAATTTCAGAATTGTAAATATATTCTAAAATGTCTACTGCACCAGTCTCAACTGTTTAAGCATGTTACTTCTATTAGGTTTATCATATCATTCTCCCAACAGTCCAGTCATTAAAAGGTCAATATTGCTCTCTGTCACACAATTCCATCTCATCTGGGTACTTTAGGAAAATGCAATAAAACAAATGTCATTAGTTGAACAACTTATGTGCCTGGGAAGACCTTCAAGTTAAAATAAAAATACCATAAGACAGCATTGGGAAAAAGCAGTTCTTAGCCTGCTCTGCTATAAAAAACTTTTAAGAGGAAGTCTTAAATTCAGATATTTCAGATATTAAATATTTCAGATATTAATATTAATTTCAGATATTAATATTATTAATTTCAGATATTAATATTTCAGATATTAAATTTCAGATATTCAGATATGTCTGGAATTCAGATATTTCCGTAACATATTGATTATGTTCTGTCATCTGAGTATTTGTGAGGAATCAATTGGGTTATGTTACAAATAAATCATAATGCCTAAAAAACATGTACATATGCACTTTTTTAACAACATACATTCATGTCAACAAGCACATAAGGTACAGGTAGACAAGCCTTGTTTCACAACATCCAGAGACATAATCAAATTCTACCCTTCTGTGAATACAAAATTTCTCCTTGTATTATATGAACAGATTTGAAACTAGTGAAGCCTATGACATACTGCATTTCTCACCTGCATGAGGCCATATAATAGGTTAATTCAATTCCACCTTCCAAATGTCCTCCACTTCAATGTATAAAAGTATATACCTGAACTTGGTCAAATATGTGCTTTATTTCCTGTTCTCCTCCACCTTCAAATCTTCTTGTAGATCCTGCTGTTATATTTCTTCCCACAAAAAAATTGTCATGAGTGAAATTATCAATCCTAAGAGTATTTAACATCTAACACCACTGCAATTCACCAGTCTTAACTGTTTCTGTGTAACATTTTTACATTTCTACAATCCTACAATAGTGCTAAAAGCAAAATTTAAGTCTATGTACAGAAAGCTAGAACCCCTTCTGCTTTACAAAGAAAGAGCCATGCAGGCAAAAAAGGACAGAAACAGAATTTTAAGCTGCAGAAACTGACTGTAGCTGCAGATCCACTGCTCTAAGTTTATTCCATGTTACCAAATGGTGTGAAGAATGCTAACGTAGAGACAATACCACCAGCTTTCGGATAAAAAGTCTATATCATTCCTGCCTCTAGAGTACTCCTTTACAAAAAAAATGTGCAGGGAGCAAGTTGCATTAGAAAAATCATGAAATGCACGAAAAGATATGTCAAGTCACAGTAATTCAAAATTATGACAATTTTAGAATAGCGTGAATGACACAAGAAGTGTTTACATCATGATAGTTTTTTTTTCTAATATACAATCAGACTTCCTGTAAAAACAGCAAGGGAAAAAATGGAACTACACATCAAAAATAAAAGGTTATAGAGAACAACACGTTGCCCTTACAATGAACTGTATTTTATGCCTTATCTGAATCTAAGATACTTCTTGTACCACTCAATATCCCATAGAGGAAAACCTTCAGTATGCAGAGGGACCTCTGGGCCCATCCTGTATTATGATCTATATATGTTCTAGTACTACTTAACAGTGGATTGATTGCTTTAGGCAGCTCATTTCACTGTTTGCAATGTTCTAACTGCAGATATGATGGGCACTTTAACTTCCACCTGAACATCTGCCCAGTTTCACCATATTCTTCTCTATTTAAGTTTGAAGGAGTTCTTCAATTAAGATATGACAATGTCCTTAGGGACTTATGGTTTTCTCTCTGGTAGAGAACTTGGACATTCCCATGCTAAAAGAGAATCAGCTCCAGGCCAACTAATTTTTAAGTTTTACATTGTATTTTCATTGACCAAATCCTGTTCTAACTGGCAATATAGTGCCCACCTTCTCAGTTTGAAATTTCATCCCTTCTCCATACTTGTATGAGCTGGGACATCACTGTAAGCACACAGGAATCGACTGACCTCTCCCACTCCTTCCACCTTTCGAAGCAGAAGATGGTAGTTGTTCATGCTTTTCTAAGACATTGTCCATAATTAAGTAATAACTCCCTTATTCTGAAGACAATGGATGGTTTTTATTTGTTTGATGGTTAAGATATCAACTGAGAAGAAGTGTTGCACACTATATATAACAGGAAAAGGAAAAAATAACCCTCCAATCCACACTAGCTTAACTAGAACTTTAAAAGCTTTCCCTCAAAACTTCAGTACAACAGCACAGTTACAACACAGTATTGAACACAGCCATATCAGGATGCAACTGAGAGCAACATCTCATTTTCATCACACCTTTTTTTAAACATGGCTACATATTCAATGAAGGATGTGCTTAGCACAGGAAGCCAATCCCATGTGAAGTGGCTTCTGACTTCTGAAAATTCAAGAAAAAATGTTAAAGTGTTAACAGAGGGAAGTTGTGTGTATGTGTATGTGCAAAAAACTCACAAGTCACAATGCTTCCTCTTCTGAAACACACATGGTTACACTTTAAAAACCATAAAAAACATTTATAACAACAGTTATAATGGTACTTAAGGTATAAGTTCAGAATCCCCAGACAAATCATAAGCAGAAACGTGAGGACCACTCTCTTCCCTGACCCTCCTGAAATCCAGGTTTATAGTATGAAAAAGTTCAGAAGAACTGGTGTATATTCTTGCTAACAACAGAAGTATATGTCATTCCAGGGGCAGCAAATCTTAAAATTATGGTGCTCTTGTGGTTGCATGAAATATTTTTCGTAACTTCTAAATTGCACTACTTTGCAGTAATAAATTCACCATAATCATCATGGCCAGTCTTCGCAAACAAAGATTTGGGAAAGGTCTTTACCCTTCCAGCCTGCGCAGTGGATTTTTTAGGTGAGACACAGTGTGCGCTGAACTGAGCCCACCCTTTAATCCTGAGGTTCATCTGCCGGGGCCAAGTGAGCTTGGACAGTGGCAGCGAGGTCCTCAGGACGTAGGTTTGTTTAGAGTGACCTTCTCTTAGATGGATGGCCTTACAGGGCTGACGAGCTCCATCTGCCCGGGGAAGTCCCCTGACCGGGAATCGAACCCGGGCCGTGGTGGTGAGAGTGCCGCATCCTAACCACTAGGCCACCAGGGGGCCCCTAAATTCACCATAATTCCATCAAGAAATAGCTTTACAGCACTGTGATTGCATAAGTACCCTATGACAGAATATTGCTATGTTTTATAAACTGGCTTATGCCAATTTTCCTTGATTGGCTTTCTCTGAACTGCACATAGAAACTCCAATGTGGACATAATTTGCATAAGACTAAAAGAAAAATTCATAAATACCACGGAGTATGATAAAATTTATGTTACAGTCGCACAGATAGATGCTAAATACAATCAAGTACTGCTTACATGCAGTTGCTCAAAATATTTTTTTAACAGTGTATCAACATTTAAAGCAATGTCCTCAACATTTCTAAGTCTCAACTTGGAGAACAAATTTTCAGTGTTTCTGTGCTCCAGCCATTGAGCACCGGCCCTTGAACACTCCAAGAAGCACAGGGCAGTATTTCACCTGACTGCAAGAATCCTGAACAGCAAAAAGGTCAGCTGCAACAGCGATCACACCGGAAGACAGGAAGCGAAGCGCAAGGCAAAGGCTGCTTGAGCCCAGCACTGCCAGGTGCCCCTGGCCCTACAGAGAAAGCCTCCAAGCTCCCAGAACAGGCACTGGCACCAGCACCCCTCTGATGACCGCACCTTTACGACTCCATCCTCAGGGTGCATGAAGCAGATCCCAAACCAGCATCTCTCACGAGCACTTCATTTCCAAACACTGAGCAAACAGGTTGTTAGTGAACAGGGAAGAATGTCAACCAAACATCTCCAGCTGTGCAAACACAGCAAGTGTTTACAGGCAATATGAGAAGACAAAATTTATCATTTCTTCCCTAAATCCTCTCTAGCACTGACACCCAGCTATCCCAGCCACTACTGCGAAGGAAAAACTATTGTCAAACTCAAGTAAAACAAAAAATCTGAGGAATGCAGCTCAGCCAAGGGAGGGCTATTTTGTTCTGGCAGAGCCCTGACTGGAATGGAAGGGGGGTGGGGGGACGTGGGGGAAGAAGAGGAGGTGGATGAGGGGAAGACAAAAAGGAAAGGAAAAGAAGCAGGAGAGGAATGCTAGCATGGTCTGAGTATTTTCTTTAAAATATTTTATAAAAAAAATAAATATTATTGAAAAGTTTAAAACATCACAATCTCTGCCTTGTTCTGTCACTTCCTTATCTTCAAACAACTAGACGGTTCTTTAACATGAGAAAACAAGCATTCACTGAAGAATAAAGGACAGAAAGAGATAGCAAAAAAACTATTTCCTTCAGTGCTCCCCAGCTCAAGTGACTAGTAAAGTCAAAACAGTAATTCTCAAAAAAAAAACAACCCTTTGCTGTGCCTTGACTTTTCCACTTCAGTTCTTAACTTCACAATGACAGTTTTGCAGTGCAAACAAATCCTGCTTGTCAGTTTAAGAAAGGAAAAAAACCCAAACAACTTTAACAATAAGCAGCAAAGCATCAGATTTGCTGACTTTAGCATCATGATTCCCCAACATTCAGAAAAAGCAACATACACTCAGTCCACACACTGCACAAACAGAAGGCAGGGCTTTCACTATCATCACTATGCCTTCCAGACACAGTGCCTCAAGCCAGGAATACATCCTACCCTCAAATTTATTGAGGCCACTACAGGCCCACAATGAAGTCTCACTGGGTGACCTGCTTCTGCTGGGATACTTGCAGGGAATTCGTATGACTTAGAAAGTAAATTGCTATTCTGGCTTCTCTGCTCCCACCTCCTCTTTCAATCTCTACTATCCTAAAAGATGGCCTTCTCCTGATAATTTTGCAATAGTCTCATAGCTCTTTAAAAACTGATTAAAAATACAGGAGCAGCTTAAATAGACTGTCACACTTCACTTTAGGAAACAAATCCCCATTCAACTATCATTGCAGTTCATCATTAAACATAAAAAAAAATTCGCCATTCTAATCTCAGCTGGGTAGAGACCGCAACATCGCATCATTGCACAGCTCAGCACCATGTCATCCCGTCTCAAACACAGCTCTGACCACAACTGCTTGGGAAACAATTTGTCTCCTTCCTCAATCTGGCATGGCTTGGCCAAAAAGCCTGGTCACTATTCACATGCCTTGCAGTTCTTTTTAACTCGGAGTTTAAGAGTTTCAAGAGCACAGTACCCTGTCAGTCACAAAAAGGGTGTCCTCAAAAATTAGCCTTTGAAAATACCAAGAAGTACAATTTTTTTTAACATTGATGCCTATTTCATGCTTTTATCCTTTGTCCTGTTTCAGTATGCTTTGTAAATATTTAAATAACACCAAGAAAAAACAGACAATCTCATCTTATATTACAGGGAAGAAATGATTCTACAGAGAAAATACAGGATGAAGAGCTGATACAAATCTAAGAATTCTGGAAATATACATTTACATGTGTAAGTGTTCATATAACCACGTATCAAAAAGGGAAGTCACATCCAAGTAGCTTCCTTGCTACAGGATACATATCCTTGTACCAGGATATGTACCATGCAACATGCGCAGGCCACTGAAGTTACTGCACAAATAAACCTGCAGAGTCAGGACAGATGGTAAAATTATTACTTGCTTTTTACAAAATATATGTTTTAAATTACCCATATGTAGTACCAGCTGCTTCATTTTTCTAATTTAGGTAACTGTATTTAAAAAGATAACCATCCTTTAATTTCACAATGAATGTCCAGAAGTGAAAATTTAATTTGTCTTTTCACCAAACTCCCATTAACATTTCAGGTACACTTTCATTTCTCACTCTGTGTTCCCAGGGTCTGCACCACATAATTCACACAATTTCTGAATGTCACTGTTAAATTCTCATTTTCAAATAGGAGAGCAAACAAACCTTCAGGACAAGGTTTTTTCCTAGATTTTTTTTTTAATCACTCCAACATCATCAATTGTCTAAATATGACATAGGCAAAATCTGAAAAACGTGGTGATGAATGCAGCACTGTGGACACCATTCTAATTTATTTCTTGCCTGTGCAAAACAGCATTAGGATGATCGACAAGAAACAATAAAGGGCCATATTGTGCTCTTCTGCCACACAGTTGAAGTAGTGTGAAGATTGTGAGGAATCCTCACCACCACAGTCCGGTCAGAGACCAGACATGGCTCCACACTGATGATAAGGTTCATGTGCAGGGTCTGCATTCTCCCACTTCAGCATTTCTGCATACCAGACAGAGCTGCCCATCTTGTGGGAGTCAAGAGGAACAACTATTTGCAGATACACAGTTTAGTCCTAATTCAATTACTGGACTAATTTTTATATTTTACAAGTTCTTATTCTGCTGACAAAAAAATTACAGTAACAATAAATAAGTCAATATAGCCATTATAGCCAACGTTTTTCTCACTCTCACTGAAAACATGCAGAAAAGTAAAACTTTTACTTAGTACCCTGAGCAAGCAAAAAGGAGGTTTCTCCTTGATCTTTTATTCCTATATCAAGAAAAAATAACATGCCCATGTCCTTCTGAAATCAACCTTCCACAGCCTCCCTTTTACACTCTCATTTTAGCAGGGTAAGACACAAGAGGGCAATAAGAGGCTCCTAGGATAAAAGTCCTAAGACCTCATAGAAAGAATTCTCCTTTTGAATGGCAGAGACAAAATGCATTGTGTCAACCCTGCACCCAAAATCACCATTTCCCTACCCTGTACATTGTAAGTAACGAGCATATACATAAAAATCACATATACAAACTATGGGTCTCAACAAAGCCCAGAAAAGTCAATGGGGTATGTCCCCATCAGTTCCCTGAACCTTTGCATCAGATTTTTAGTTTAAGCTATTTTATTTCACTGTTCAACCAGTAGACACATTTTTGCACCACCTTAGCAATTTTTCCCTTGCACCTGGCAAGGCTGCTTTTCCTACCTGATCTCTCAGTTGTTGAACAGAAGTCTGAAGGTTCAGAATTTGATTAAAGAGAGGACTCTGCAGCACTGATTTTAATAAGTTGAGTTTCTCCTCGTTTGCAATGTCACCTCGATTACGAAGTTTTGCCTGTAAGCGATCCATGGCCTGGAGGGCCCGATGGGTATCTGTAGCGATAATTATTTCTAGTCAGTAGCAGTCTAGAAACAGCCATATACAAGCAGGTAACAGGTTTAAATATAACTCTCTTTACTGTTCAAACTACAGAGGACTTGAATGGCTCAGTTCTCAACAAAAATCCCAGTCCAAACATGTCTAATGAAGCAGGAAGTCAGAGGCAGAGCACAAAACAGAAGCCAATAAAAATCACATTTTTGTCCACCAAGAACTGGCTTACAAAAGTGAAAGAGCCTTCATTAAAATTCAGTTACAGGAACTGTGGCTACAAACCATTGTAAATAAATAGTGACATAAAGAGTCATAATAGAAAACATTTGTCTTTTTCATGTCTTTCAGGCAAAGATTAAAACAACCAAATGAATACAACAGGCTAAAAATTAAATACACTAAACAAATGATGGTACACCTTCTGTTTTCAAATACAAAAACCCAAACCCAACACAAATTTTTACTCAGAAGAGATAATTTTCTCAAAATCTCTCTCAGCAGTTTATGCCAATGACCCAAATCTATCACGCGCACTTGATTTGGCCACAAAAATACTGTGATACAAATGAAAAAAATTACCAATTGTTTCCAACATCTTTTTTTCTTCTCAGCTTCTATTTCAAGGTTGGTAAGAGACAGAAAATATATCCCTGAAAAATAAAAGAAAGGGAAAAAAAGTCACATTTATAGAAGTGTTAAGCTCTGATGGAGAAGAAAAAAGCTTGACTTCCGAAAACAAGAAACAGCAAAATAACAATCCACACAAAACATATCTCCATGGATAATTAAAATAACCTCAAAGGTGACTATATTCTGAGTTACTTTGGTGCTTAAAACCTGCCTGAAAACTGCTTTAGGAATGTACTTTGTCATATTTTCCTTTCCATATCAATGCTGCTGTCTGCATATTGCTGCACAACATCTCCTGCAATGCTTTAAACAGAAGCTATTAATCATCGCTGTCACTGATATTTTACAGTTTCATTGCTTTCCTTTTCAGTGATTCACAAAAGACATTCCCTGCGGGATCAGTTTTCAAGCTCTATGTTGACAATTTCAGGTGCACCAGCCACAGCACATTTTTAAGCAATCTTTTTTAAAGAAAAGTCACATAAATCACAAAGTCTTCACGCTAAAGACCTGCAAGAGTCTCACATTATAGCCTCCACCATTAATACGTCTTGGAATTGAAACTCTGATCTGGATGATGGCTGAGTTTTCACCAGTGTGTGTTTTCAGGCAGGAAATTTCATGCTGAGAGGAAGAAATTTGGAAATTGCTTTGTTGATTCTTTTTGTTGTTTTTGGGCGTTGTTCGGGGCTTTTTTTTCCACAGTATACCTCCAATTGCTCTGAAATTTGTAGCGATAGAACATGTCTGATGAGATAGATAGCTGAGGAGAAGTGAGGAGGTCAAGTATCATTGCAGGTGTATGAACTCATAATCTTATCCTTCGAAATCGTGCTTTTGTTTTCTTTATAATAGGAAAACCATTATAGCATCCCAACCTGAATCTGGAGAGCTTAAAAATATGCAGAACCGCGATCTCTAAGCACTCAGGAAAAGAGATTTTTTTCTTGAAACTCCGGAGAAAAAGAGAAATGGGAATGATGTTGGCCGATCTCTGGGTAAGCTAGCCTACCAGGACCATTAGTTATGGAACCTGATTGTCAAGCCTATACTATTTAGAGTTTATGCAGAAAAAACAAACCGAGTGGGTTTAAAATGGTCTCAAGTTCCATCAACATGACTTCCCTAGTTTTGATATACCAGAAGCTTTGTATCAATTTTATTCATGGAATCACAGAATCATAGACTGGTTAGGGTTGGAAAGAACCTTAGAGATCATCTTGTTCCAAGCCCTCTGCCATGGGTAGGGAACCTTGCACTAGACCTGGCTAGTCAGAGCTCCATCCAGCCTGGTCTTGAACACTTCCAGCAATGGGAGCATTCAGAACTTCTCTGAAGGTTGTTTTTGAATTTGCCAATACATTGGTATAAAATCAGGACAACATACCACTTAGCGACAAACATTCAAATCCCTTAAACCTGATTTTGTCAAAGTAATCTTATTCCATGATCCAAGAGAATCCAATAGAATATCAGTAACAAATAAAAATAAGCCTTTATGAATTTGCTTTCTCACTTGGCAAAGGAAATCCCAGCACGACTGCCAGATCTCAAAACCTGAAAGTGTCTTGTTTTTTCACCCTGTCACTCTACAAAACAAGACAAAATTAAGTCTATTTTATATGGAAAGGGCTGGATGAGATTATTTAAATATTATGAAGGAAGCTGGCTTCCCCAAATCTTAATCACCCAAAGCTCGTTTTTAGATTAACAAACTACTGTCACTTCTATTCAGAGTCCCTATTTACAAGTTTACATTTATGTCACATTCATAAGTGTCTTTCTCAGTGACGATACCAATCAAAGCAGTTCTTTCCTGTTTCACTGTTCCAGTTCTTTCTCTATAGCTATTCTTGGGGCTCTGTAGCGGATCCAACCAGAAAATTGTGCAAAAAAATAGATATGGAGTATTTTTCAGTCATTTTAGTGCCATGATCCTGTTTATCACAGCACTATACACACAAGCACATAGCATTATATGTTCAACAGACGAAACTACTCAGGAAAAATAAAGGGTTACTGTTCTGCTTCAGCTCCACAAGAACCTCAAGAAGAGATGCAGCTGTAAAATGTCCCTGTCTTTTGGAATAGCTGGATATTGCTTTATACCATAACTCTATTTGTCAAAAATCTCATTCTTGCCATGCTGAGAAAGGCATATTTTACAAGCGACAGCAGAGAAGGTCACCACTGTGTTCAGGCAACCCTGAAGTTATGAACTCTGATAACTTATAGTGAAAGATTTCTAAAAGAAGACTCAAGTCCTAAACATATTCTACAGATTGAGATGATGGTATCTAATTTGCAATGAAAAGAAGTCCTTAGCTCTGCTAATACACTCATTACATACTTTCTCTTTACCTCATGCTTTAGAGAGAGAAATTAATACTGCTCCAGTGCTATGCTAGCATCAGCAAATCCATTTTTAACTCTCAGTTTATTTGTGTTTACATTAGCAGGAAAGCCCTCCCCAGATGGCCAGCTTAAGGCTTTTGTTGACTGCAGCAATAAGCATGAGCAAGACAAAAACTGTTGTCAGGATGTTTTCCCTCAGGACACCTCTGAGGCAGATGCAATGTGTTGAGGAACACCAGCGTTTCTATGCATCGCAGGCCCAGATGACCCCTGTTCTCTCTGCCTGCACTCTGAAATGGCAAAAACCCACATGACTGTGCTCCTGCTGTGCCACATCCATGCTAACAAGTGGGATCTGTCAGCACCAGCTTAGTGGCACATTAACATACTGAAAGTACAGGAGCAGCAACCACACATCTGTCCAAAATGCACCACTGAAACACATCCACAAGCAACACCACCCATTGCAGGCTGCCCCGGCCTTTAAACCAACTTTTGCTTCTAGGTATTCTAGAAATAATGTGCTAGGGAGAAGTAGAGAGGCATGCACGATGACTTGCTGACAGGTGTAAGTCTATCATTTGCTACTGTGAATATTTTTATAATGCCATCACAGACTGCTACATGTACAATGGGAAGATTCGTTCTAATTTTCTCATTTTGCAAACTCCTGGCAATTTGTATCACAGGAACCTGAAGCCAAAACCAGCCCTTCTATACATCATACCATACTGCTCATGCCTCAAAGAGCTTACTAGCTTAGCTCAAAGTAGATTTAACTATTTTTGTATTTCAGTGTTAAAGTTCATTAATCTCTTCACAGTAATAAGGACACAGACTGTCTGAGTTAGACTTTTTTAATTGGCAACTCAAAGAAACGCTGCTAAGGAAATAGCAAGTTAAATTTACTTTCAAGTTTTAAAGGCACAGATACTTGAAAACTATGACTTAAAAAAAAAAGCAAACAAAAAACCCCTCCACCTTCTATTTTTCCTTCCGTTTTATAACATTAAAGTAGAAAACACAAGGAATTTTAGACAGGCACGTGGTGACAAACATGGTCTTCTCTCTAAGTATAAATGAAAATTAAAAATGATCCCTTTCAAACTTGCCCTTTGGAAATTTGACTCTTCGTATGCTAAGAAACAAAAATGTGTTATATACACATTTCTCTACTCTCTATGGTACCCTTCTTTGATAAGGTTGTTTGCCAGAAGACAGTTGGCATGTTGCAGCTCTGGTTTCCTTCCATCCACTTCTGTGATGCTAAAATCCATAGGTGGCAGAATTTAAAAAAAAACAACCTGAAATTTATTTGATCACCTCCTTTCCACTGCAGCCACACAAGACACTTAGCTGAACAGACAAAAGATTCAAGAGAAAAGAGAAAGACCTTTTTCCAGTGATTATTCTTTCACACCTGATCATTTAGTTTCTACAAAGAAACCTACTCTGTTTCATTGATAGATACTCCATCTACTCTTTCACAAAGTCATTTCAGATAATACTCTGGAAACTAATGCTCATAGCAGTGGATTACCAAACATGCAATGCCAAAGATAGAAAACACAGTAATAGGCTTTGCCCTGTAGCTCCTGCATTACTTGAAGTGCTCTGAGCATACAGAGGAAATGCCTATCTTAAGAGTGATCTCTGGGCCCAAACTTTGGCATGAGATTAAAATTAAATCTGTTTCAATTAAGCAGCATGGTAACCACAACATGCATTTAATAGCTGTTAAAAAAGAGTATTTCGAAACTTCTAATCTAAATTTCAACACTTGGGCCTGGTTTTGTGTGTGCTAGAGATATCATTTAACATTTGATTTTTATCCCATGTCATTTCCCTCCCATATTTTCTGGCTATCACTCAAACAGGCATATTGTGTTAGCACTGCATGGTGCAGGAAAGGAAACCAAAACATGCAGGAAGTGGAAGATGTTAATTAGTGCTAAACCTTCTGCTTTGCATGCAGATTCCAAGAGCTCTTCCATTTTGCCCAGTTACATCCTGCACGCTGGCTTCTAAGCCCAGGAAGAAAACTAAGGTGGATCTCAGATTCTCCGGGAGTAGTTTTGTCAAAATAAATGCAGTAGAAACTATTCATGGTAAACTGAAAAATCTCATGCTTTTCTATGTATTTTTCTACTGTCACAAAGGCAATTTTACTCTTGCATACAGTGCTTTCTTAAGCACACTGAGAAAGCGTATGGAAATAAATGCAAGAGAACGGTGACCAACAGGGAAAACATGATAAACAAAAACAATAAGTGGAAAGGAAGAAAGAAGGGGAAAAAAGGCTAGCCTACCATTTTACTGACAGGACATGTGCTGGCCAAATTAACATCGACCACTCAGTTTCATCAGCCAAGAGACCCTAGACTGCTAGCTTCCCAATGACAAAAGAGAGAACTGATTCAAATTAAGGATTTAATACAAGCAAAATTAATGTGCACTGTTCCACAAGGAACAAAGCAGATTTCCACTGGCTATCTGGAATGTAACAGGTAAGCAAGAGAAGCCTGACATTTACATTTAAAAGCTATGCTAATGAAAATTGTTCTGAAACATTCAAAGTAGAAATAAAAACGCAGTATTCACACAGCCTATATTAAGACTCTAAGAAGTCTGAAAA